TAAGACCCGTAATTAATATATTTCACTATATAGAGTTATAATGAGTACCAAAATTATGAGTCATGTACCTAAATGGCTCAAACCTATTAAAATCCCTCCGACAACAAATAAAATGCTTCAAGAACAGAAAGAGTCAAATCACTCAATTGCAATAATTAGCCTTAAATTCTTTATCTATTTTCGTCCTAAATGCAAGTATCTAGTAGTTTGCAAGTGAGCTACCAAACTTTAAAGTATACACATTTTTATTTTTTCAAATGAACAAATGATAACTGTATTTGAAAAAAAAAAATCATTAACTTAAATAATAAATAAATAAACAGAATCAATTTGCGAAACATATATAATAAATTATTTAGTTTTTAAGTTCATGTTAATTTTACATAGAGTTGTAAACATAAATCTTCGTTCGTAAATTCGACTTGCTAAGACTCTAGCTCGGTTCCACTTGCTAACTAAATGAGTTTTAAACGAATTCGACTAATTAAGGCTCGAGAATAAGTATCTTTATGTATTTTTTAAAAATTTATGAGTTGTTTCGACTATTTAATCTTGATAAACAAATTGAGCTCGAGCCCCTTTATCATCTCGTTTATTTTAAATTCGTCTCAATAAAAGCTCAAGATTTAACTCGAGTACCAGAAGTTGGAGCTCGGCTCCACTCATTTATTACATTTATTGTACTTGAGGCTACATAGAATTTTCGCTAGTTTTCAGTTTCATGTCTAATTAGTAATTATGGTCGATGCTGGTAAAAATTGACTCTATTACATAAAATTTAGGTGTTGTATATTGGTTTCTTTATTTGAAAAATAATACTGCTAGGTAGTTCACCATGGGCCTGAAATTACTTCAATGTTAAGGGGTAAAGGTGTAATTTGGGTGGTAACGTAAAGTGGGCCTACGCAGTCTCATGGCTATTGGGCCGCTCGAGTGGCAGAGATGTCCAAAGACTCCCTACCAATGCACGAAACAAAAAATAGCCATATCCCATATGAATTTGTTATCATCGGTATTAGCAAACTTTGGGACCATACAACAGTATTAAATTTGGTTACTAAAATTAGTAAGAACATATTATATATTTAATTATAATTATATTGTCTTATTTACTCCTCCTATTCATTTTTCCAATCATTAATGCAAGATATCTATCTTTTTCTACTAATGAGTCGAGTTCAAGCCAATTTAATTAACGAGTCGAGCTCGGCCATTAAGACTCAAATATACAATTTTTTTATATATTTCTCTATAGTTCAACCCGTTAAACTTCAAATTTATCTCATTACCACTGATAAATAAACCGAAGTTGAGCTCGTTTAGTTAATGAACTGAACTGAGGTCGGCTTGTATATATCACTATCTGTCACATGCTCACAATGCATTTCAATCAAAAATACTACTTACTCAAGACCAAAAAGAATTATTTGACCTTGTAAGATGGTCCACATAAATTTTTTATATTTTTTGGAATTTAAATTTCTTTTTGTTTGGTGGAAATTTCAAATTTGCAAGCTTGAATTTTTTTTTCATTTTTATTTTATTTTTTAAATTTTATTATCAAAGTTCACATGCTACAAGTATAAGTTTGAGGACCATGTATTTTCTGAACTGAAACTTATAAAAAAAAAAACAACTGAGATTGATTTTTTATTCTTTTTTTTTTAATCTTACAAACATTTTATAAATATGTTATTATTTATATGAGATTGTAGTGGGGCCCACCTACTATGGGAGATGTGGGCCTTCCGGCCTTGGACTTGACGGTGAGGTCACATGCAGACCCTTGAAGAATTAAATTCACATATTAACCGATTTAGCAGTCTGTGCCTCTATTTCAATTCTGTAATTAATCTGATGACAAACTATAATATAACTATTTTAAATATTATTTTAATTTTATTGTAAAAATATGTTGGAAAAAGATGTGTTTTTTTTTTAAGTCCTTCTATTTTATTTTAAGCATTTTATACCAATATTTTGATGCTGCTAATCTTTCCCGAGGCAGACAGCGTTAATTTTAGAGAAAATGTCCTGCATTGACAAGAATAAAAAAAATATTCATAATATAAAATGTATAAATATTTTATTAAAAAGAATAAGAATAAAACATTTTGAATCTAATTATTACTAATATTTCATAATTTTTAATTGTGGTTGAGGGCCTAAGGCTACCTATGAGAACAAAGCCGACCCGATAGGCTAGGCCCTAATCCAAAACATTTGGCCCAAATATATTAAGCCCAGCCCACTAGTAGCCACACGGACCACAGGCTCCATAGTTCAAACAACAAACTCACAGAAAGAAGGGCATTTTCTTTTTTATATAAATCAATATTCTGCATTTGTAATTATAATATTTACCCTCGCATTGCAATGTAGCAGCATCTACTGCTACGTAAAGAAACAATGTTTGATATTAAAAATCAATAAATTATTATCTCTGGTAAAAGTTGAGTTCAATCATTCATCATCTTACAGCCTGAAGACTGAAAAAAAGATTTGAAAATTTGTAAAAGAATAACCCAATGCATGAACACCAAGGAAGTAAAAGAAAACAAAATAAAATAAGAAATAAAGAATTGGCATTGCATCAACATATATGCTCCACAATCCACATACAAACAACAACAGCTAAACAGACACACAGCTTCTTGAATTTCCAGTCACATAACCAAAGAAAACCTCCACCAAGATAGTGAGAACTTTCAACTCCAGAAAATACTCTGAAAAACACCTAGCAAGAAACTAAATTCTCAAATTTACCCTCCAAAACCTCCCTAATTACTCGCGAAACCTCGTACCCCTTCAACCATCCCGACCACCTCACACATCCTCGGCCGCTGGTCCGCGATCCTTCCCACGCACGCCATCGCAATCTGCAAAACCTCCACGAGCTCCTCCTCGATATTCGGACACCTCAACAGCCCGACATCAAAAACCTCAGCCGTCCACTCCTCCCGAACAACCGAGTGGACCCACCTCACCAAATTTACGATTTCGTCCCCATTCGCCGCATGTACCGGCGCCTTGCCCGTGAGCAGCTCGAGTAATATGACTCCGAAGCTATAGACATCCGATGATTGGGTGGATTTGCGGGTGTCCGAGACTTCCGGGGCACGGTAGCCCGCGGCGCGGGCCACGGGACGAACGAGTGAGGTCATTATAACCGAGAGGCCCGGATCAGATACACATCCGTATTGTTGGGAGTTAAGGAAAATGTTGGAAGATTTAAGGTTTCCATGGACAAATTTACCGTTGTTCTCAGTGTGGATTCGGGCCATGCCCCTAGCTGCACCGATCGCGATTTTGAGTCGGGTATCCCAGTCGAGGGTCCGATTTTCACCATGTTTTCCTGTAAGTGTTAAAGGAAAAAGGGAAAAAAGGAAAAAGAAAGCACCTTAGTGAAATAAGCTTCATGTATTCAAATAAGTTTCGTTGGTAGGTTATAAGCTATTTGGGTAGCTCTTCAAATTAGCTCGTTGAGTTTTTTATTTATTTATATATTTAGTTTTTTCCAGCTAGCTTATCAGCTAATTTTACCTAACAATTTTATCATATAATCTAGCTTTTCAGCCATAAGTCATAAGCTATCAGCTATAAGCTCGAAATTCACTTGAAAGCTACAAACTAGCTTATCAGCTAGGTTTACCAAACATAGCCTTAGTGGTATCTCTGAGGGCAAACTAAAATTCATATGTTAATGCTGGTCGAGTAGTGTAATTAATAGCAATTGGCTCTAAATATGAGATAGTGAGAAACGGTATAAAGTCGTGCATGCTGAAGTCAAGACATCAACTCAACTCGAAAGCAAGAAGGCGAACATTGTAGTATTGAAGCTTTTGTTATCTTATACCTATAATAGTTCAAAGAGCAAAAAACAGCAAGAAATGTTTCTTTACATAAAAAAAGAACTAAAAAAAATAAAAAAAGGATGCAAGAAATGATTAGAAATCATTGACACAAAGGTTGAAGATATTCCTGTACCCCACATCTATATATATGTACACTTTAGTTTTGGTTGGTAAACCTTCTTCACCTGTCACTAGCTGTAAAGACAATCTACAAGGAGCTATTTTTTCACTTTAGTTGGTACTCAAGGTTGCTGCAAGTCCTACCAATAATAGCAATTAATAAACAAATTAGTTAAGCTCCTGTGAACAACATTAAATTTATTTTCACCCCATGTGTTCATTTAATTCTCAACTGGACTACACAACAAAATAAAATTCTTGTTATTCCATGATGATTAACAATCAAAAGATCCAAAATCATTATAAGCCATAAAGCCTGCATTCTCATCACACGAACACGAATCGGAAAATAGAATTCATAAACAAAAAACGATTTAATGGGAAGTTGACAACTTGAAAAACTAAACAAGAACAACATACCGTGCATCATCAAAGCCAAACTCCCCTGATCATAATAATCGTAAACCATGAGCTTCTCATCCTTTGAGTAATAATAAGCCCTTAACTCGGTCACATTCTCGTGTTTGATGCTCCCGATCAAATCCATTTGCTGCTCGAAATCTTTCTTCCCGACACTCACATCCTTCAACCTCTTCACGACCACCATAGTAGCATCCTCTAATATCGCCTTATAAGCCGTGCCAAACGTGCCCTTACCCAAAACCTCAGCCGAAGCCCTCAACAGGTCCTCCAAATCGAAAGCGTAATTACACCCCTCGAAAAAAGTTAACCTATTGCTCGCATCTTTGCTTCGGGAGATCGCTTTATCGGGTGACATATCACCCCCCTTCTCCAAATTACCATTATACCCTTCATCGTCATTCGCGGTCCTCCTGAACAAACAAACCAGTAAAAAGAAACCAAACCCAAGAATTCCAAGAACAGAACAAGCAATCACAATTCCGAGCAAAGCGCTCTCGCTCAATCTCCTCACATTCTTGCTTCTCGAATCGTTCACTCGAGGGGCTAAAACAAGAGGGGAGCTAACGACAGTGTAATCCAACAAAGATTGATTGTTACCCACAAATGCAGATTTTGGGAACCTTTGAAGTGACTTTGGCACAGTACCAGCAAGATTATTATAAGAAAGGTTGAGCAAACCCAAGCTCGGCAAGGGCAAATCAGGAATCTCACCAGACAACGAGTTGAAAGCAAGATCCAAGGAAGTGAGTCGACTCAAACCCGAGAGCGAGTTAGGAATGCTGCCATTAAACCTATTATGAGACAAGTCAACAATACTCAAATTGCTCCACAAGGTAAAATCCAAAGGCAAGGGCCCTGAAAAATTGTTGTACTGAAGATAAAGAAAGGTGAGGTTTTTCAGGCCGCCGAGGTCAGGCGGGAAGGTCCCGTTTATGCCATTGGATCTGAGGCTCAAGATCTGCAGGGCCGATAGACGGCTGAGAGTGTTTTCAGGGATGGGCCCGTGAAAGCCGACACCAGGGAGCCTTACAGCCGTGACCCTTTTGCCGCCCTCGCCGCAGGTAATTCCTGTCCAATGTTCGCACACCGGAAAATCCTCGGTCCAGTTCAGAGAGCGTAAATGGGGGATTTCTTTCAGAAAATCAAGCAATGCTTGTCTGTCCCCTTCGTTTAGGGTTTCAGAAAAGCTGCATTTTGGTTGTAATAGCAAGAATGTGAGGCCAAGCAAGACTGGTATGCCCAAAAATTGCAGCTTTTCCATTAAAAGAATGGAGTTTTTTTTTTTGGTCGCTACTCAGTTGGGTTCAAAATAAATAAGGCAGCTCTTTTTGTTCTTGACTGAAGGAGCTGAAAATATACAAAGCTGAGTGGCAGATGTATTATATGTTGTTGAGTGTGAGTGTGGAAAAAGGGAAAAAGGAGAAAGGATTGAGGGAAATGAAGCTAGCTCCAAGACTGGTGTCTGGTAGAACTTAGGACAGACGGTACAGTGGTAATTTCACTAATTTTGGGGTAAGTGTAGAAAAAAAATGGAGCTCGATGATTTGTAATTGGGGGAGTTTAGGGCATTTGTTTATGAAATAATTCATTTCCCACTCAAAATCTAACTCAATTTTAACTCAATCCCACTATCATTTATATTATTTATATAATTAAATATTATAAACCAATCATTCTTACATATCACATCAATTTTAATTCACTATTCATCCACTCACATAATTTTAACCACCTATCATTTCTAATCATTTTCAATCATTTATATCATACTTTTACATCAAATCATTAATAATCATTTCCAATCATTTATATCTCACTAACAATTAACCATACTACTTTTTTCAAAATTAACTCTAGTTAACTAAAATAACTCATTTTGAATGAAATATTTCATAAACAAGCACGCCCTTAGAGTTGCAGCTCACAAGTCACAAGAACTGTATTTTAATTGTAATTGTATTTTAATTTTAATTGAGAGTTTAGAATTATTATAGACTAACATTCGATATTGTGCATTTGAACATATATATATATATAGTATTATAAGTATTTATATCTATAAAATATTAAAATTACAAGTTAGATAATGGTATTATGTTTTAAAATTTGATCATAGGTTAAAATAAATAGTACATACCTCATACGAATCACTATATTGATTGCATAAAATGTAATAAATAATGTAATATTTGTAATTTTGAGAGATCATGACAAATTAATTTGCTGAAAAATATTGAAAGGAATATAACAATTGCTTATGCGATTTTAAGGGATTTTACCATGACATTAAAATAAATTAATTTATTTAAAAAACAATCACTTAATGATATAAAAATATAATATTAATTTTAGCATAAATAACTTGAACAATAAGTTTTACAATATATTTTTTATGTTAATATAACTTTCATATATTATTTAATGTAAAATATGATTAATAATTATAATAATAACTATTATATGATACAATAAAAAATATAATTATCACACAATTAATATAAAATATAACGATTTTTGTCTTACTTAACAAAATCATTTTTTGAAAAATTAGGTGCCACGTAAGTATCATTTATTAGGTTTTATTTAATGAACTGCTATCAATTATATATATAAATGGATTATAAATTATGTGATGCATATTAATTTTAATGGAGAGTATAGATTCATTATAGATTATACATTATATCGTGTTTTTGAAGGATCCCCCTTATATATTAATTGAGAACGTGCTGAGCCTATGTGGCAGGCCCGCATGCTTCGGGATCCTATGTGGCAAAAATACATGCTTCGTTAGGCTTGGGTAGATTTAGTTTACTTCTAATCCAAATATATTAAGGTTCGGATTATCTATAATATGTTGATTATTTATGATAAGGGTGGGCGCCGGCCGGGACGGTCCTGGATTTGACTTGTCCGGATACCCATCCCACTTTTATGAACCCGTCCATGAACGGTCCGGAATGAGGCACCGTCGGCACCCATGTAATACATGAGTGTTGTACTAGTAAGTTTTTGTAACTAAATGTGTGATTGTATATAATTTTTTTTAAGTACTTATCATCCAATTTTAACTATAAATTATTTAAAATTATTATTTTATTAATTTTATATCACATCAACTTTAGTTATTATATTTTATCTCATCTCATATTTATTTACAAACTAAACATTTATTCCTTTCCTTC